TCTACTTCCCTTCTTCCTCGTTTCTTTGGCCGAACACTGTGACTCTTGCAGCACGAACAGATTTTTTTCTTCTTCTCTTCTTCTGTAATTGGTTTCGCCGCGACGATGAAGCACTTCATGATGCCAAGAAACGCTGTCTTGCGGGATATCGGAGAGCCGCAATCGCCAAACCCTAGCTTGACGAAATCCAAGACCCAAAGGAAGATTAGATCCGCCAAAGAGAATGCTCCACCTCCGGATCTGAACCCTTCGATGCCTGATTATAGGTCGTCTCCGGCGAAACTGAAATCTCCACTGCCTCCGCGTCCGCCGTCGGCTAATCCTCTTAAACGGAAGCTTATCGCGGAAGCTGCGGCGGAGAATGGAGTACTAGCTGGGGTTTCAGATTCTGGTGTCAAGGTTAGTTTGTGAGCCTTTGACTGTTTTGCTTTTTCTTGCTCTGAAAATTTCTGAATCTCGAGCCAAATCCCTAATTTCTTGGATGAGTTTGCTCATATTATCTTTCAGATTCAATTTTCCGTATTGGTTTATTCTTTGTTGTGGGAAATAAAGATGGATAGTTTGTATTTTTAGAAAGTTTTAGTTTCATATGGCTTCCATGTTATTGGGGAAACATGAACTGAAGAAAAACTTTAAGCAAGTGATTCAGTGGCTAAGTGACAAATGATTTTCTGATAAATAAGTTAGTGTTCAAGCGAATCCCCAAGTCTTTGTTGCTGAATATACCTTAAAAGCTACTCAATTTGAGCCCTTGTCTCGTATTGTAGGTTATAGTCAGAGTGAAGCCTCCAAGCAAAGGTGAGGAAGATGAGATGATAGTAAAAAAGATCTCAAGCGATGCCCTCACGATTAATGAACATACTTTCACGTTTGACTCAATTGCTGACCCGGACTCAACACAGGTAAGAATTTAGTTTTCATGTTTTTGGTGTCGTTATTGTATGATTTACGTTGATAGGCTAAGTCCTTATCTTTCTTGTATTCTTTTCAGGATGAAATCTTTCAGCTTGTGGGAGCCCCTCTTGTAGAAAACTGTCTGGCTGGATTTAATAGTTCTGTTTTTGCCTATGGACAGGTAGTCATCATTTTTCAATGTGTTTCTTTGTGCTTGAAACCAGATTTTTGTGTTTTTAACTTCTGCATTTTATACTGTTTGAACACTTTTCATCAGACTGGTAGTGGGAAAACGTATACCATGTGGGGTCCTGCAAACGGGTTGTTGGAAGAGCACCTTAGTGGTGATCAAAGAGGTTTGACTCCGCGTGTCTTTGAACTGCTCTTCGCCCGTATCAGTGAGGTGATGTTTGGTGTTGTTTACTTTCAGTCTGTTTCATCTTGTGACAAGGGTAGCACATTCAAAGTTCTTTGTTTTTGTTTGCAGGAGCAAGTGAAACACGCTGAAAGGCAGCTCAACTACCAGTGTCGTTGTTCATTTCTCGAGGTTCAATGAGTGAATGCTACTTTAGTTTGGGTCCATTTGATGTTTTTATTTCTCAAAGCTTGATATTCATGGTTCTCTTTTCCATCTTCCATTGCAGATATACAATGAGCAAATAACAGATCTTTTGGATCCGAGCCAGAAAAACCTGATGGTAAAGGAACTTACAACTTCAACTTGATTTACATTTTAAGGAAAAAGAACCAGGGTTAATCGTTTTTCATTAATATTGTACCAGATTAGAGAAGATGTCAAGTCTGGTGTTTATGTTGAAAATCTGACTGAGGGATACGTGAAAAACTTGAAGGATTTATCACAGCTTCTGATTAAGGTTTGTGACACCTTTTGTTTCCTCTTTGGAATTAATCCTTTTATATTCTGAAAGACTTCTAGGTGATTGCTCAAAACGTACACGTACACTTGGTCTAGTTGTGATACCATTGTTAACATTTAAAAGATACGATGTGAAATTTTGCTTTGTTACAAAGAAAAAGTGGCCACACTACAGGAGTTTGAAAGACTGTTTAATGGAGTTTAACATTTCAGCTTCGTTAGTGATGCTATGTAATTAGTGATGCTATGTAATTCAAAGTCAAAAAGAACATGACTACACAAGATCCTTATACGCCAAAGCATGTCAAAAGTCTTGCAGTATAGACAACCTGAGCTATTTTTTTTCTTTGAAATGAGTATCTTCATTAGTAATGCTTGCATCTGAAACTGGCGCAGGGCTTGGCAAACAGAAGGACGGGTGCAACAAGTGTAAATGCAGAGAGTTCAAGGTCGCATTGTGTATTTACTTGTGTTGTTGAGTCCCACTGCAAGGTGGGTTTTTCTCCTTTATTAAATTGCTTATATTTACTGATGCCTGCAAGTTTTAGGAATCGGTTATGAGGCTCAGTTGCTTACTAGTCTAGCAA